AGGGGCGCGCCATCAACAGCAGCAAGCAAGCAAGCAAGGCGAGCTGGCTCGTGCTGCTGCTGCTGCTGGTGGTGCTGGTTGCAATGGTGAATGGTGAATCGTGAATGAAGCAGCTCGCACGATGATGAGATGCTCCCTGCCGCTTTGGACAACGAGCGATGCCAACCTGAACGTAGCCATCCTTCATCTCAATCGTCAATCCATCCAATCAGAAGTCACGAGTGCGAGTTTCAGTTCGACACCTCAACAGAAGCCGCTTCGCGCCACCACTCCGACCGCGAATCTTGACCTTGACAGTCAGCGGACGCATCAACCTCTCCCCCCCTCATGTCCCACCACCACTACCCTCATCAGCACAACAGCAGCTCATCGCCCACCAGCATCTCCACGCCATCCACAATCATCGACATGACCACCTCTCTCTCCACCCCCACCATTTCCTCTTCCCACAAGTACAGCGTGATCCTGCCCACCTACAACGAGCGCAAAAACCTTCCCGTCATCGTTTTTTTGCTCGCCAAGACGTTTTCTGCAGCGGCATTGAGATGGGAAGTGATCATTGTGGATGATGGATCGCCTGATGGGACTTTGGAAGTGGCCAAACAATTGCAGCGAGTGTATGGAGAGGAGCAGATTGTGCTCAGACCTCGAGCTGGTAAATTGGGTTTGGGAACGGCTTATGTTCACGGACTGGATTCTTGCACTGGCGATTTCGTCATCATCATGGATGCGGATTTCTCTCATCATCCCAAATTCTTGCCCGACATGATTCGACTTCAAAAGGAAAGGGATCTGGACATTGTGCAAGGCACGAGATACTCTGGACCGGCTACGGGTGCTGGAGTGTATGGATGGAACTTGAAGAGAAAGTTGGTCAGCAGGGGCGCCAACTTGCTCGCCACTTTTGTCTTGGGACCCAGAACGACGGATGTGACTGGAAGCTTTAGGCTTTACAAGAGACCAGTCATAGAGAGGCTCATTAGGGAAGTGACGAGCAAAGGATACGTTTTTCAAATGGAGATTCTGGTCAGGGCTAGAGCGGCAGGTTACTCCATCGGCGAAGCGCCAATCACCTTCGTCGATCGCGTGTACGGAGAGAGCAAATTGGGAGGAGACGAGATTGTGCAGTATGCAAGAGGTGTTTGGAACTTGTTCGTCAACATCTGAGGATGCGCGAGGGGGTGGGGGATGGAGAGATGCAAACGTCATGGAGATGCCACCATGGTGACTTGAGAGCGTGCATGATCGAAGCAGAAGCGAAGGCGGCACGATGCGCTTTGCTGCCGCGCCTCAACACATTGCACGAAGAAGCAAGTTACGGGCGCGAGTCAAAGGTCTTTCGGCTCATTGGCAGGAAAAGCCGGGAGAACGTCAAAGAAAGGCGGACAAAGCAGCAAATCGCGACCTCGCGAGACAGCATGTGCTTTTGAAGCGATCCGCATTGCAAACTTTTCAATACATGATGGTGCCCCTCTCTACCAGACGCGGCACTTGCCGAAGCGAAGCATCGTCCTTGGCAACAGACCACAAGTAGCCATCTGTGGGCGTGGCAAGCGCGGATGTTTGATCGAGCGTCAGCATGCGTTTGCGAAAGGCGCCCAGTCGTGTAGAAGCTCTGTCGTCATACCACTCACCAAGATCCGCTTCTGTCAGCGCGCCAAGCCATTCGTATTTGGGTGCATCTTGCTGCGCCAATTCGTGTGCTCGCTTAACGATGAAAGAGCCGGCATCCAGTGCTGAAGCTCTGATGACGTACGCTTCCTCTGCACTCAGTCGAGGTCCTTCCTCTACCGCCTCATGCTGAGCTTTTGCGCCTTCGCTGTCCGTATGAGGGGCGCGCACACGCACAGGTCTGAACGCCTTCAAATTTGCAAAGGAGCTCGACACGTTGCTCGTGTCCAGTAATCCGAGCTGGATGAGCATGGTGGGCAGAACGTTATCGACGAACATGGGCAGCGTCTTTGTGCTTGGTGCGTTGGCTACACCTCGTTGAGAGATGGCTTGAAGGAGGAAGAAGGCCTTTTTGAAGAGATAAACGGGTCGACTGCCGTCGATCAGGTGGGCATCTGCGAAGGCTGGGATGGTGGAGACGAGCTGGCAGGACGGCAAAGAGTCCGTGGACATTACATCAGTATTCCTCCGCATGATGTGGCGCATTCATTAAGCGAGAAGCTCACCCCGGCCAACACTGCTTCGCAGCGCTCTTCGTCGCTCAATGTCTTGGCTCTGTCCAATGCTTTCAGCACCAAGCTGCCCAAATCTACAAGTCCCAAACGAAGCAGCACTTCTCCAGTACTGTTGCAAGCTCTAGCAACGAGTTGGCAAACCTCGTACATGTCTCCCGTCTTGGGTTGTCCCAGCACCACCCCGGGTATGCCGCTGGACGACTCTTGCGTGGTGGAGACGTTCAAGAGCGAAGCGACTCCATCGGCTTTGAGCTCTTTGAGAGCGAGGGCGGAAAGCGCATTGGGACCGGAAATGTAGAGACCTATCACCAGTCGCAGGACGGCTTGATAAGCGCCAGATCCAGTAGCTTTGTGCAGTGGCGCTCGATACGCCGACAAGAAATTGAGCAGAGACAGCACAGCCAGCAGGTTCTGTCAAATCGTGCAAATGTCACATTTGACCGAAAGAAGACCTGTCAGTGACATCTTGCGAGCGGGTAAATCATAGCAGAGCGGGGGGGAAAAACCCCCCCTGAGGAGGGGGAGGTATCGATTGCAAGTGTTTCCCTACTCACCACTTCTTCAGCAACGCTATCAAAGCTGAGCGGAAGCGTAAGTCCATGTTGCTTGCTCAGTCTCTCAAAATCTGCTCTATCCAAATGCGTCAGGAATGCAGCAACCGCCTCCTCATTGATCGAAATGTTGGCTTGGGAGCGCACCTGCGCACAGCTGGATCGTACATTCTTGATAAAGCTGCCCGATGCAGGCAGCGGAGCGCTGAGACCCGACATGATCGAGAGGCTTCGTCTTGTTGCTTTCTCGTTGCGCTCCGACTCTGGTGCTTTGTCCTGCGCTGATAATTTGACCTAGGCACCTAGCAATGCTTGGATGCGAAGAGCGCTGTGACTTGATGTGAAGACGTTCGAAAAGCAGCGCATGCATGGTGGTCACAAGGTCAGCAGAGAAGAAATGGCGTGGTGCAGTGTGCGACTCTTTGGTCCCCGCAGTCTCGCGGGTCAAACAAGAATGCGATTCACATTCATTCCCTCGACAATTCGTGACTCGAATTCAAGAATCACGAATCGTGAATTGTGAAAAACGCGCGTCGGCATTTACGATTCGTGATTCGCGCAGCGTCGCATGGTCTGCTGTGCGCCTCACCCATTACGCAAGAATGTGCCAGGCAAGCATCCTCGTCACTTCGGTGGGTCGTCTTTGACATACACAACACCTCTACCAATCGGCTGATGACCAAGCGGTCACCAAGTGCTAGAGGGCACGTCGCCGAACATCAGACTCGTGATGGACGAGCCCGCTACGCGAGCCAGGTGCAAACCTGGCCGGACGGGAAATGAGGAAAAGTATCTGTGACATTCTCATTCTGAGCGATCTAGAGACATGACCAAAATCGTAGCACAAAAGGGGGGGCAACGGAGGTGAAAGCAGGAAAGAGGGAGTCAAAGTCGGAGGGGACAAGGTCACGACAGCAAATTACCACACAAGGCGGGGCAAGGGAATCGTCCAAGCACCACTACCTGCCAGGTGCGATGGGGGTCGAGGGAAAGTTGAGCAAGCTGGCGATGCTTTCTCTGCGAATCGTGCTGGATGGCGGATCATAAGCACTCGAGTACGTGCTGTGCGAGCTCAGGTAGTTGCTCGTCGAGGGCTGATACGAAGCGACAGAGGTCGCATAGTGGCTACCAGATCCGCTCTCCACACGAGAGGGCGAACAATGAACATCCTGCGATGATCGGCCGCTCCACTCGTCCGAAGAGTGTGTGCGCAAAGGTGCGCGAGTTTGAGGGGCCGAAGTCATGCGCGATCTCGCTGTGTCTTGCCAGCTCGACGTGTGAGTGCTTGAGCCAGAGTAGCCGCGATGCCGGCCGTACTGTTCACCATCTTGAGCGTCCATGTCTTGGCGCTCTTCATCTGGACTTTGATCTTCACCTTCATCCAGATCATCTTGGTCATCCGCTTCGCCTTCCGGTCCTGCATCGGGGCCTTGACTGTTGGACCTCTTGGCGTCTCGCTCCTGCGACTTACCACCCGCACCATCTCGTCGCGATGCGTGACCGCATCCCTATCCACGCGAAGCCAGTCTCGAGTTAGCGTCCGGCAACGACCAACAATACGAGCACGGCGTTGCAACTCACCTTGACCAGCATGTGTCGCTTCAATGCGTCCTTGCGGCTGAAGCTCTTCCCACACGAGCACGAGAAGGGCCGGGTCGCGAGGTGACCTCGCTGATGGCGCTTGAGGTCATGATTGCGTTGAAATCGAGCGGGGCATCCCGCATACTGACACCTGAAGTTTCGCGGGACGTCAGAGTCTATGCGTGGGCCGGATCGCGGCCGGGGCTTGGCGACGTCAAAGGACAGACCGCTGGGCGCATACATGTTGTGCATGGAGGGTCCAGCCGTCATGGTAGGTTGCCAAGCAGGGCGTCCCAGCCCAGCAGTCGGATTCCCGTACTGGCCCACGTGCATAGGCGCAAATGAAGCGCCGCTAGGAGGTGGGGAATAGGCAGCGGAGACGTAAGCCACGTGCGAGCTTGCCGAGGTCCCTGCAGTAACGGCGGCCGAGCTGGGGTAAGAAGAAGTTGACTGGTAGGTAGTGGTCGGAGGAATGCCGTCAGCTGCGGAGGCTGATGGAGCAGTCGAGAAGCTAGCGAGGTAGTTGTTGTCCAGGGGTGGCGCGCTGCCACGACTTGAGCGACGCAAGTCGGTCCAAGAGGCCGGAATGCTAGCGCTAGGGCCAAGACCCGAACCGCTCGGTGCGTAAGCAGGCACTCCGTCGTGACTGGTACGACTGTCTTCATACCCGGGCTGGAATGGCGACGTGCCCATCGAGGACATGCCAGGGATTGAAGTGTTCGAACGCGTAAGACTCGAGAAGCCTGGGGCGGCGATGGCTCCTCTCCGCTGAGGTGGTGCGTTGAGAGGAGCAATTCGGGGCAGTTCAGGCCCTTCTTCAGCACTAGGACTTGGCCCTCGACTCGTATCGCGACGAGGGGGTCTTTGCAAAGGTGGAAAGGGCAACGCGGGTCCACTTGCACCAGACACTGCGCCCCTGCGCTTTGGCATTGGGAGCGTCAAATGCGACAGGACGTCATTCGGCAGACCATCAGAGGTCAAAGCGCCTTGTCTAGGACGTGTAGCGACGGGTGAGATGTAGGGCGAGGATGGCTCTGAGGAGCCGCTGCGTTGAGTCGCAGCTTGCGGAGAGTACGCCATCTGGACGAGTATATTTTGGTGAACGCTGCTTGGGGGTGTTGTGTCAGGCTAGGTCGCGCGAGAGCAAGGTGCGTCGCTCGGCAGGTGTCCCGTGTGGTATTGGCGGGTGGCGGACCGCTTGACAGCCACTGGTTTAAGAGCGATACGATGCCGCTGCTATATGACAGCTAGCCAGGCGGCAAGAGCACCTGAGCGTGGCGTCTCGAAGACTGACTGGCCGGCCCTGAGGAGGCAGCCAGCGAGCGGGGACTAGCTATGGGCACTGAATGCACAGCACGTAAGAGACGAATGCGCTATTCTAAGAGCAGCGTAGATTGCCGGAGAGGGCTGCGCAAAGTGCCGTGCTTGAGGCTGAGCCGTTTGCGCGCGCCCTGATCCGAGGTCGAGCTAGAGCTATGCTGGCAGAGGACCAAGGTTGCGCGCGCGATTGATCAGGTTATACTCAGTCGAGCTATGACTGCGCTGCGCCTCACCGGCTCGGAGAAGTGGCCGATGACTGCGTCGATGGGGGGAGAAAGTTATATCCAAGGCGTCAAGAGGAACCTGCGCAGAGGCCAACTTGGACAGCAGGAGCGTCGAGCGCGTTTGTGAAACAAAACAAGTCAAGAGTCTCGGAAAGAGGTGCACGCGATCGTCGGTGATGAGCAGGGTACCTGATGGGAGCAGTGATTGGCGCTGACAGAAGCTGGATGGGAAAGGCGGAGCGGAGTAGTTCAGCTTTCCGAGCTAAGAGGGGGAAAAGGCAGCTTAATGAGATGGTTGTGGTGTGGCCGATCGGGATCGTCAGGGCCATGGAGATGCTGGGACCTAGAACCAGATGCGCAACGCAAGCTCGGCGAGAAGGGCAGGCGGGCGGAGGCTCGGCGGAGCGAGAGCGGACCTGATGCTGCGAGCAGTTCCCAGCAACATAGTTACGCGGTCTCTCGCAGAGCCAACCTCGCGATGCAGCATGAAGCAGTTGGCAAGTCACGAGTATAGCATGCAGCATCAGCTTTGTTATTCAGGGCCAGACCGGGCTATCGAGGTCGCTAAGCAGAGCGCGCTAGTGCCGAGTTTCGACCTGCTGCAGAACAACGCGCCAGTCTCACGCAGCCGGCATCCGACGCAATTAAAAGGAAAACGCAGCACACTTGACTGAAGCGGTTGTTGTTGGTGCTTGCTTCCCTGCAGATCTTTCAACAAGGCCATACATCCCTACTGATGCGCCCTCCTCTTTGACTTCCAACAAGGTTTCGCGTAGGTGAGCGAACACGTCGAGTACCGCATAGCCATATTAGTCGCCACAGCTACAAGAGGCCAACTCCGTTCATTCGACTTGATTCAATCGAGTTAATTGCTTGCTTGGGCGTCACATTGGCGCTCCCATACAGAATCGGGTCTCAGGCCGTGGATGTGATCCGCTTCTGAGCGCTATACAATCGAGGTGCTTTCGCGTACTCTCTCTCGACTCACGACTGGCCAGCTACCAGTCTTTGAGTATACCTTGCTGAAGGGCGCGGGCGTTCACACTCAAGACTTTGACTCTCACTCATGGCGCTGCATCAGCCAACCGGCCAAATGCTGGAAGCCATTCATCTCCTTCGAATAGTCTGGTCGCCCTTCGAGCTTGCAGCCAGCCACTCGGGCAGTCGAGCGATCCGAGGCACGACAACCGCAATCAATAAGGGGGAATTTGCGACCACAAGGTCAGGATGGCCATGTTCAGCGTGAGGACCGCACGCCGACAATAAGGAAAAAGCGGTCCAATTCAAGTCTGGCTTTGCATGCATGCGTGGATGCATGCATGCATGACGCCACACGAGCGTACGGTATCACTGCGGGGAGCCGTCACCTGCTTTACAGCCATATACAGTACTCACACTGTAGCTGAGCTCCTTTTGTGTGGCTGACAGCAGATCTATGCGAGTTGCGCTTGTCATGCATGCTGGCACCAGCGGGTGCATGAGCCCATCGATCGCACAGCGGTGACACTTTCGCCCTGCACCAGAGCCTAGAACTCCGACACCACCACGACTCCCCAGCAGCAGCAGCGCATACAGTGAGCAGCCTGCATGGCTTGCTTCTCACCCATTCACCACTCAGATTGACCTTGCTCGACGTTGAGGAAGAGCCAATACGCGTTCGAAATTGATCAGCGTCAGCGCATCAGCAACAGACCATGTCGCCGCCGAAGAGATCCTGACATTTGTGTCAAGGACGTGGGAGTCTGTGTGGTCGTGCGAGCTCCCTCTCGACGTTCTTGTGGGCGGAATCGCGCGGGCAGAGGTTGCCATGCACACATCCTTTCGACTCGGATCTGTGATCATTCACGATGCACCAGACCGGCCTGATTGCACATACGCACGCTCGTTCTCGACATTATTCTCTGACCGATGGCCCTTGAGAGTCGTTGTCCTCTTCGCATCGCAGCCAAAAAAAAAATTGCTCTTGCGCCCTCGTGGTCAGTTGAAGTGGAGCAAGAATGGGAACGCGGATCGATTGAGGATGTCCACATCAATGATCTGTTGTGCATCACAGTCTTCACCGATGGAGAGATACCCGGATCAAATTTGTCAGCTGCGTGCGCCGCCCTGATCTGGCTGACTCGATCAGGAATCCTCAAGCACAAGGATCACAGGCCGAGGCTGTACACAAGTGGAGCGGCATGGATACGGATGGGAAGTGTGAGCAAGGCACATATTGCGACGCCAAGTGAATGTAATGATTCGTGCGCAGTCTCTTCGCACAGCAGCATTGATTTCTCGACTCGGTACCGAAAGTAGCGCCAATGTCGAGCAGAGGGCTTGCGATGCAATTGGCGTTGAAGCTGTTGTTCGACTCGGATCAGTCGAATCAAGAGTCTGAAAGTGAAGCTTTGGTTTCGGCAAGGCTTGAGGGCATTTGCAAGGCGTCTCAAAAGCTTGCCGACGTCGACGTCAGAATCAAAAGAGTCCCTTTTTGTCTCATGACGGAAAAGTGGCGACGAGTGGGAGCACTGCGCCGGAGAGGTACGATGCAGGGATGCAATGGTCAAGGTTATATTATTCAAAATTGAGATGGCGCAGCTGTAGGACACTCACAATCACTAAAATTCGAACGCTACAGGGTACGGCGGTACACCATACGTATAGCGCGCGACGACTTCAAGTCCCCAGCAGTGCGTTCACTTGCGCTTCACCACGCCTTGCCGTCTCTCCCGTGCGTTCCGCGCTACTCATTTTGAATTAAGCCACCCTCTGCGGTCCTTCTGTGCCGCGCTTTCGCACTCACGGATGGCCTTCTTGGGCATCAGCGCTGCATCAACTCAAGCTCTTCCATAGAGGCAAAGTATTGATGAGAGGAAATGATGCGCGAGGTTGGAGCGCTTCTTGATCGACGTTGTTCGGCTCTCGTTCAGCGTGGTATTTTCGCTGTCAATCTGACTTGGTTCCTGAGCATGAGACGTGTCGGAGACCAGAAGAGCACCAATTGATGTAGCGGCGGAGTTCTCATTCCCATGTGTTCCGTGACTGTCTCCTCCACTCATCACCGGGCAGCCCTCGGTCATGGCAAGGATGATGTCGTTTCAGCGCTCGCAACTCTGATGACTGACTGAACGAGGAGGTCTTTAAGCCCTCAGCAAGGCAGTCTCAAAGTCACGAGTGCTCCTCCCATGCAGAGATGACAAGTTGTGTGGTGAGTACGCGGCGATGGCACGATCGATCACCGTCATGCGCATCCTTCATCAGTGCTTGGCCTGTAAGACGTATGAATCGCATGAATCACAATGAGATTCGCACCCAGGCAGAGGAGCTTCCCCCTCAAACTGATGGCCCGCCGGGCCGAGCCGTGTCACTATGCAGAGTACCGCATGTCAACCTGCGGTGCCGCGGTCTAGCTGGCAGCAAGGTGGTGATTTGATTCCTGCTAGGCGCTCCCTTTCGACCCATTCGTGATCAGTTCTTCAACTGCACCCTTGACTTGAGATTCACATTCACGTGATGTGAGCACAAGCAACAGCTACATCAGGAAAGCACGACTCGCGAACGCTTGGCAAGTTGGCTCAAAGTACAAGTCGCTCAAGTATGCCCATAGTCACCGTCACGAGTGTGAGAGTCGTGAGTGCGCCTACACCATCATATTCGTGCTTCGCTACCCGCGCACGGCAGCTGCATGCGCTTCGGAAGTCGGACGTGGACGATTCGTTTGGCCGCGTTTCGTAGCGCATCAATTTATGATTCAAGATTGCTCCGATCGAGATGAGTGGGGACGCAGCATCGATCGGTGCAATGCGCGCGCAAGGTTCTTTCTGCAAGCCACATGTGCAGTCACGAGTCAGAGAGTCGTGGGTGAGAGAGCGTTGCCCTGCTGCTGCTGCTGCTGCTGCTGCTGCCAACATAGCTTCCGCTTCCGTGTGGCTGCAGTCGTCGCTGACTCGCTGCGCTGCTGCTTCAGTACAGCTACTGACGACAGCCTGCTGCTGCTGATCCTGAAATCATGAATCGAGCTGTTCATCACTCGTGACTCGCTCGATCACGTCAACATGCTCGAGGGTGCGCTATAGAATGACAGGTGTAACGTTACACTCCCGTCTGGTTTCGTAGGGTCCAAAGCGTCCAGGTCACGAGTCACGTGTGCGGTCGATGAGCCTAAGCGGCAGACGATCACGCGAAAATCGTAAAACGGCCTTGAGTATGAGTCAGTTTCGCACGGCTTGATGACTGCGCAAGTGCGCAGTGACCGAACTGGTTGATTCTGATGAGTCGAGTGGTGAGTGGTGAGTGTGAGTGTGAGTGTTGAGACAAGGGTCTGCAAGGGACTCACAAGAGCGCATGCGCTGCGGCCGCAATATCGATGCTCGAGCTGGGGCGAAGCTTGCGTGTGAGCTTTGCGACGAGATGCGGCCGCAACACTGGAGGCCAAGTGGATCAAGTTGATGGATAATCTGCCCAGGTTTCTGCGCGTTGCAATTGTGAATGTTGTGCCCGGCCAAGTCGTGGCATGATGCTCTAATTGTTGGGTGGTGTTTCGGTGCTCATGCGCAATGAAGGCATAGCTCCTTGCCTCGGAAGCGCCAAATGCGATATTGTGATGATAGAGCCTGACATCAGCCAAAGGCTCGAAATTTGGTGGTCGACGGGTTCAGGCTGTTCCGAAGATTCTTTTTGATATTGCTGTGCATTCGAGACGAAGGTTCACAAATTGAGCATTCAGCAGGATCCCATCGCGTACGTCCAAGAAGATGAAATTCGCCCTGATATCGCGAGGCAAGACCACAATGGTGTAGCTATGCACGACTTGAAAGATACGGACACTGCCTTGACGTCTCGACTTGTTTGATGGCTCCAGGCTCCCCGTCCAATCACGGACATTGCACACCGACGTTCGTTCCTTGCGTGCCTCACCGTGAGCACTGAAATCGCGAGTCACGCTGACCTGCGAAGTCGTAGCAGCGAGAGTTATTCCCGCATTCTTGATCTCAAATCGCAGTGCTTCCTGGAGTACTTTTCCGCGTGTGCGCCTCCTCGAACGCCTTTCCCCTTCGCTGGGCAATAATCACGTATGTCAAGGAAGGAGTCAACATAATGGAGGTGTTGCGGTGGTGTTGCATTCTTGCACGCTTTGCCCCTCGTCTGGAAGACGGTCTGGTCTGAATACGTCCTCGCGCCACTTTAAACTCTCTCATGGCGTCCAAAGTACGCCGCACAGA